AGAGAGAGAGAGAGAGAGAGAGAGAGAGAGAGAGAGAGAGAGAGAGAGAGAGAGAGAGAGCGAGAGCGAGAGAGCGACTGTATCTCCTGACAGATCCAATTATTTTGATCCTCGACTGCCCGTCGTTAGCAGTTCAGTGTATTTAGATTCGTATTGAGCTAAAGGCAATCTCGACGTGGGAGTTGGGGCTTCCCTGCATGTCTGCTTGCAGGGAATATACCTCAAGCTGGAGCTTTCATACATTATTTATTAATAGCTGCTCAAACCGCAGTGATCACTAAGTAGGTAGTATGCGAAACAATAGTGGCAGATTTTTTCTTGCGTCTCTTGCTATTGCTCTAACCACCACGCTCTATATGCTATCAAGGTTGTATGTTGATCACTATTGTTGGGCACCAAATTATCTTAACCGAGTTGATCTTTAAATATCTATTCGGCTTCAAAAACAAATGAACGTGTGAATATTACTTTAAAATTCGTGTAACAAAGTCAAAAGACAAATGTTTTTTTAGAAAAAAGTGTCACGCGTTATTGTAAAACCACTACGATTGTGTAAACCAGGAATTAGTTTTGATGCATTTGTGATGAGAAACGATCACCAGGTATCGTGTTCAACATCTAATAAGAAACTATCAAAACTGTCAATAGCTGATCGGACTCCATTATCAGTATTGTAATTTTACTATAAATCTTTTGCTATGGGACGTCTACTGTCAGAAATATTTTTTACTTCAATGTTTTACAGAAGACCCTAGGAGGTAGTCCAAATAGAAAATCGCCACATATCCTATGATCACGTACCTTAAACATCAACGGTGAAGATTTTTGCTTGACATAATGTTCCTGGGTCGCTGGGTTCGCTGCAAGGAATGAATAATTTAATTGTGAACCAATAAAATAATCCACCCAGCTGCCAACTTAATTAACTCACGCAATTTCTTTATCTGCCTGGCCGTCATAGTTATGCTATAATATTCTAAAACACAATGCTTGGCAATGAAGCACATCAATGTTGACAGTAAGTTGGTATGGTATGGTAGGTTGGTCAAGCTTCACCTACCTGTCCTCGTAATAATGTCCAGGGCGTGCGCTGTTTTCTCAGCCAGACAGATATGCTAATTAAAATTTGTTAATAAGAAAATCTGTTAGTTATCTACTATTGTTTGAAGGCACAGTGATGTAGCTGCACTGTTGCACCACAAATTGTCGTCCCTGCACAAATTGTCGTCGGCGACAATTTGTGCTGCTCTTGCCGTTCCCAATTTTTAATCTCACTGGCGACAATTTGTGCAAGCAAAATGAAACCTAACTGCACAAATTGTCGCGGCTTGCACAAATTGTCGTCAGTTGCTGTCTTCAAGCTACAGAAGATAATGACGATTACAAAGATGATGATGATGATGATGATGATGATGATGATGATGATGATGATGATGCTGATGATGATGATGATGATGATGATGATGATGATGATGAT